AAGAGACAAACACGGTAGCTATTGCAATGCAGGAGCTATTATAGCCTAGCTCTTTCTTTACCCACAGCTTTCTTTTTCTGGTTGTTGTAAGCGTCAGCTTTGTCTGCTTTGACACTCTCAGCTGCTGTTCTTTGGAAAGGAGGTTAAAGGGCAGTTTGAAAGTTATTTTGGTTGAGCACGCTCATGCCAGGAGCATTTCTGAAAAACAGGGGTATGTGGAAGGATGTGGGTGCAGCAGAGAAAACAGAGAATGGATGTTTTTTACATCTTCTCCGTGTGCTGCCAAAGTTATGGTTACACCTTTTAAGGTCATCCACCTCATTAGGTAGAACATTCCTCATGTCTAACCCCCACAGTTCCCCTCTTTCACTGATTTGGAGAGTGCCACATCTGTCTCTGATTAGGTGGGCTGTTTTCACCCACCGTCTTCTCTCTGTCCGAATCCAAAGGGGAGTCTGTCTCCACTATGTATCCTTCTGCCCCGTATCCCCCAAGTGTCCATTGTTAGGTAGAGAACTTCACAGGATTCCCAATTTTGCTATATTATGAAAGGGTTGTCTCCTGAAATCTCAACCACAGAGGGGAAGGAGGTTGCTTCCCCACCTCTAGTCAGAGTTTTTCCTGTTTTTGCTGTTTCCAGCATGTACCTCTGGACAGTTGTGCACAGTCTGCCATCTCTCCTCAGATGTGTAGATAATCTACAACACAACTTGCTGTGTAAAAGTTAAATATTTGTTAATACCAACCATAGCACATTTCCTTTTTGTTTGTCAGATGGTGTTGAATGTGGAGGGAGTGAGAATTGGTGCTAGGGGCAATCACTCAGCACAAGGTTTATCAACAAAGGCTGTTGAAGCACCAGGTTAATGGCAGTGGGTCAATTCATATAAATAATAAACAAGTGTCTCCTCCTTAACCAACCAACCATCATCAAATTATTGCCCATGTCAGAGAGCAGCGGGCAGTATGGCTTGTCAGATTGGGAAATGCAAGCATGGCAAGCCAGATATTTTGAAGTTCTCTACATACAGCCAGAGGGACTCTGCCATAGTTTTGCCTCTGTTAATATGGACCTGGGGTGATCTGAAGGTGAGCTGGACCCATCCAATTGCCACCACTCAGTGGGACAGTGACTGGATTAGGCCTGAGTAGTCAAGGCCTTGTGTATTGTGGTCAAGAAAGGCCCTTTGACTTTCTGTGGCAGCTTCATTCCAGTTAAAAAGTGGAAGGTTTTGTTCCATTCCATTGAAAAGGAATCATACAGTCAGCACAGTAGCATCTGGTGGTGTTTAGCTTCAAATTCAGTTCAGTGTACTTTCGGTATGCTACACATGTTTGTACTGACAACACATAACTGTGAGAGAAGCTGGAAAATTTGGAAGTTAAGTGTGGGGAGTTTGGGCTTTCAGCAACAAATGAGGCATGGGAGGCAGCTTAGGACTGCTGACTAAATACACCGGGCCCAGTCCTCAGCCTCCTTATGGCTGCTTTGCACTGCATCTGGTGTCATAAAGCAGCCATAATGAAGGCTTAACTGGTTAATGGAGATACCCTAGGATAATAGAATCCGTGGGTGGCATACAGCCAGTGTACTATCGCCTACTCCACTCTCCCTTTCCAATGTAGGGGGCCTGGCCAAGGGGAAGTGGGCAAGGCCAGGGCATCTCTATGCCCGAGCAAGCCCCACTGCCAGAATGACCCCTCAAGGCCACAGACAGCTGTGTGTAAGAGCAGCCCTGAGGCTGCTTTAACTTACACCAGGAACTAGCATGGGCTTCAGCTGTCCTCTACTCCACTGATTTATGTCACTCTGGCGACACAAAGCAGCTGTAAAGCTAGAGGATCTCATCCGTGAGAATTCCCCTGACATTGGGGTGTGTCCAAGGGAAAGAGGGTGTGGCTGCAGCATCCTTATGCCCCATCAGTCCCTGGCTGCTGCTGGACCAGTCCCTTGTCTGCAGGCAGCCAGGTATCAGTTAGAAGAGTCTGAACCTACTCTAACTTGTGAAATGGTCCCTGCCAGATGGAATCAGGGGGAAATAAATATGGTTTAAAACCACTTTTGATCCCTTGCTCCAGTCTTGTGCTGAATACAGCTAGGTTAGAATAAAGGATCGACCAACGTAAGCTGGCTGCATATGGTGTCACATCTGCTTAGACATATAGTCACCATGCCGGTTTCTGAATGGGCATTCCCTATTATGTGACAGAATGAGTGAAGAGATATTTCTCAGACAATGAGATCTACATGGCCCACTGCGCTGTGATAAAAGAAAGGTGGGATGGAGCAGTGGCAGAGGGGGGTGGGAGAGGAAGGGAGCAAGGGAGCAGGGCAGAGTGTATGTTGTGAAATATAGTGCACCGGCAGACCATGCTGCTGCTGCTGCTGACAGAGGTCTGGCATGCTTCACTGCAATCTGATCACATCAGCTGCCAAGGTGTCAAGCAGCCCATGATTTCAGTAAGAGATGCAGATGAGGTTGCTGAATGGCAGCCGAAAATATTCTGTGATATAATACAAATGGTCACGGTAACAAGTGATGACATCACAGTGGATGTCTGTCTCCATTTTCCTCACAAAAATAGACAACATTCTACTAGGCCACAAACATCTCCAAAATACCAGTGGCTGACTTGAGAAGGAAACTTGAGAGAGAGAGAGAGAGAGAGAGAGAGACTGGTTATTTTTTTAGTTTAATTTTTTGTGTTAGGAAAAGGAACTAAA